TGAGTGTAGATGTGTGCACTTGCTCTGTGGGTGGCAGTCCAAGCAACCCCTGCAAAGGGCAGCAATACTTCTGGGCAGCTTACTTAATGCGTTGCGCTCCTTAAGATAATGTGTGCTATACATACTGCAACTGTATTAGTTAAGATACAATTTGCAGATATTAAGCAGCAGGTGTATCTATGTGTGTGTGAGTGAGTCCTTTCATGCCGTCTTTGGCTTTTTACCGTCGGCAGCAGATAAAGTCAAGGCGAATTTTGCATTGGGGAAACTCTCGCTTTATTTTAGCTATTTTAAAATATATATGTTTTCTATATTTCGGTCAATGTGTGTGTGTGTGACTCTCCCGTTTTCTTTACTTTTTCTTTGCAGCAATATATAAAACACAGCAAGCACGTGCTTGTCTTTGCAGGCGCACGAATCTAACAAGTATTTTGAATGCTTATTGTAGAATATTAGTTAAGAGTTAAATGATATGGACTATTAAGTATAAATATATAATATATAGAAGAGTTTATTATTATATATAGAAATTTAAGGAAAATGTAAAATATGAAAATATATATAATATATAAAATATATAAAATAAAGAATAAATAATAAAAAAAAAATTATAAATTAAGTTAACATATTCTTTAATAAATATTTAAAAAAAGAAAAGATGAGTAACAATAATAAGGAAGTAAATATCCTTCTACAGCTGTGTATCTGCTATAGGGTCACCTTTTGCAAAGCAATCTGAAAGTTTCACAGAAGTCAAACACGAAAAAAGTTGATCCTAAGAAACCTCATCCATAGCTAAAAACCCCACCCAAAATCTTTGTTAAATCTATATCGTAAGGCATGTGGTATTTCTATGTGGGATCAACCTACAGGACAGTTTACTGATGTTATTTATCCATGGCAATGTTGAGGTTCTCTCTCGAGTCCACAGCTAATGCTGGTTGTCTGAAGTGTCGGTTCGTTGATTGCGGTGAGCAGCGCGTGGCCAATTTTGGCATTTTTGTCTGCGTCGCCGTCGCCGTTAACGAAATGCGATGCGATCGATCCGAGGGATCCCAACTTGGTGGCTCTTGCAATTGAAAAGTGTCAAAGTATCTGTCGAACTGCACCAGCTTCGATTTGTATGCGCACATGAGATCGCAAAAGGATTATCTCAAATCTGTTAACTTATTTCTTTTTTATTCTATTTATTTTGTTGTTGTTGTTGTGTTGTTAAAACTTAAGTAAACCATTAAATTGAGCTTCATGTTCCAGAAGTAGATTCGGGTTAGTTTCTGAATGGAGGCAGCCATTGGGAAGGGTTAACTCAAACGGTGATCAGACGACGACGCAGACGTTAAGAACAAGTTAAGCGAAAATTAACTTTGAGTTTCTTTTTGAAAAACTTGTGTAGATTTGTCGAGATTTACGATTTTGAGAATTAATACTGAATATTTGGTTTCTGCTTTTTTTTTTTTTTTTTTTAATTAAATATTTGTTGTTGTTTCTTTTAATTAGGCGCCATCAGATTTGCCAAATGAATTTGCTTGGGTGAATTTTGTTTTATTCTTTTCATGCGCTGCCCCAATCCAAGCGATGGCATTAGAATTTCAATCACACGCACTCACACTCGCGTTCACTGCTGGCTGAATTAGATATATATATGTATGGATATATTTGTAAATATATATAAATACGTATACATATACATATATTATTTTTTATTTATTGTATATGAATAGTATTTGATGCCATTCGAAACTCAATGCGAACCGATTCGAGGTTGACTTCGGGGGCGGTAAACGCGCGCGCACTTTGCATTCATCTATCTATATATATGTATATATGTATATATATTAATATATATATATTATATATATAATATATATATAATATATGTATATATAATAATATAGGTTTTTATATGCGAATGCGAGTGTGTATAAGTATTTTAGAAAATAAGCAAGTCCGAAAATGAACCGAACCGTCGACGACTTGGACCAGCTCTGTCTCTGCTAGGACTTCTCCGCGGCGCGTTGCCCGTTAACCGTTTGCCACTCGGCCACTGCTGCTGCTACTGCTGGCGCTACTGCGTGCGTTTTGCGTCCTTTTGCTCAGTGCGTCGAGCCGAGAATATAAAAAAGCAATGTTGGCTGGCACTCAAAAGACATCCAGAAGCCGTATGCCAACTACCCGCACGCCCGATGCCGATAGATCTGCGATGCGTTCGGCGTTCCATCAACTAGCGACCAGCTAACAGCTACCAACGATACAACACACGGCACAAAACATAACTCGGACGAGCACGACGCGTACATGGATGGCTGCCCCCCTTGGCCCCTGCCCCATACACACACAGAGCCCCTTTGAAACTCTGCCCCTCTCAGCCAGTGCGACCGCCAAAAAAACAGCATCAGACGCGCAAAATGCAGCGGGGCAGTGGCAGTGGCAGTGGCTCTGGCCCTCCTATTGACTAGCTATACAAGTCCTATGTAAAAGTATCTGTGATAAGTTTTTTTCCTTGCTCAAAGCTCGCGCGCGCGAAACTTACACACACACTCACGCCAAACACCACACACATGGAGAGTTGGGGAGAACAGTGCGCTCTATATAAAGCGTCTATATACTGCATGGCGACACGCTGCATTAAACGCACATTGAACGGGTGGGTGGCCCAGCCTTTCAAAAAACTGCACGTCAAGAAATAGAAAAAACTTGGCGCTGCATCTACGCAACGTCTACGTGGCCACACTTCTGTTGGGTCAGCCACACAGCCCACTCAAGCCCGCACTCGCCAGCGCCCATACTCGCAGCAGCCCACAGCCGGCTGCCCACTGAGCCGACCAACCACGCACCACGCTCACGACAACGACAACGGCAACGACAACGATTACGATAAAGAAGTGCAGCAGCAGGCCGTGCGTATGCAGGCCCCCCGTTCAGCCACCCAGCCACCCAGCCACCCAGCCACCCAACCACCCAACCACCCCTTGAGGCCAGACAGCCTCGTCGTGCTCATCATCATGGCCATCAACAATGCAGAATTGCAACGCACAATGTCCTGCAGCCGGAGTGTGAGGGTAGGCAGCCTTCTTCTGGCCAGTTGCTTGCTACACGTGCTGAGCCTCCACGAACAGCTGCTGCTGCTGCTGCTACTCCTGCTGCTGCTGTCCATGTAAAAGTTACGAGTCTGGTTAAGTAAATAAACGGCGCGGGTGGGGCAAGGGGCGAGGGGCGCGGGCCAGTAGGCATAACTTCTAAAAATAAGCCGAAAAGAGACAACAAAACAAAAAAGAAGCAACGACTACTTGTGTGTGTCTGCTTCCTCCTGCATGCAGGAGGCGCCGCCAGTGCCTCGCACTTCAAGTGCATTTGCGTTGCATGCTTTTGGCACTGCGGGCTGCACTCGCAGCCAATTCATTCGTTCTCTCTCGCTCCCTCTATAGCTCTCTTTCTCTCACTTGCCCTCCCTCTGGGTATCCCTCTCTCTGTCTGACTCTCTCACTCTGTCTCTCTCTCTCTCTCTCTCTGTCTCTCACTCTCTCACACTCTCTATCTATTCGGCTCTCTCACTGGCACTCTCTGACTGCCGGCAAAGGCTCACATGATGGTTGGGTTTGTTGCATCTCCTTTTTGGCCATCTAAATTGTGGCAAGTTGACGCTGACGTTGACGTTGACAGCGACGCTAGCATCGCCGCCATGTACTCCAAATACAGTTTGGTAAATGCACAGCTCACCCCTCCCCACAGCGCACCATCCTCTTCGATCCACTATCTTCTAGTTGGCAGGCAATTGCATCGCATGCATTGCAACATTTCTCCAGTTGGGGAAACGCTGTTCGTGTTGCATTGCGCATGTCCTTGTTTACATTATGTGCCTGTGCCCCAAACTTGACGGTGCTGATTGCATTCGTATGCATGTGCATGTGCATGTGCAAGTGCATATGCGAATGTGTGTGCGGGAATGTAGAAAAGCAAAAAGTCTACTACTACAACTAAGCCTTCAGCTCGGCAGTTGTTTGTACACACATACAAGCAGCAGCCTCCTGCCGAGAGCTCCAAGCTGATGTTGTGCGTTTCTACTGCAGCTGAGCGCCAACACTGACAACAACAACGAACAAACTCCGAGCGAACGACAAGCAAACCCGAGTCGAAGCTGATTTCTACTGGGTGGACAAATATGGAGGAGAGGAATCAAACGATCACAGCCCACTTACTCAATTGACTACGAAGGCTTGATCGAAGTTCTCTTCTGACAAATAAGAGGAAGTTTTCTGATTGAATTGATATAGTTAGAAAAAGATCGTAACGAAATTAATTTCATATTCGTTCATTAGTCTGAGCTCTAAAAATGAAGCTTTCTGTTTCCTTAACTTCATTAGAAAAATTATATTTAAGAAAATAAATTAGCAATTATAGTTAATTTTAATTAAAATATTATACTTTTCAATTCAATAAGAAAAAATAATTTAAAACCTTAAAATAAAACATCATGTAATTTAAAAAACAATGATAAATAAATAAAATGAAATAAAGTTAATAAATAAATAAAAATAAATAAATACAAAAATCAATAATAAAAAAACTTATATCGCAAATTTTCATTTGTGTAAAATAAAAATAAATATTCTTAATTTTATTTAGTAAGGTTTTAAAATAAAAATAAGTAAATACAAGTATAAAAATATGATAAATACAATTGAAATACATGTTTAATATTTTTTTAAACAAATAAAAAAATAATAAGCTCTATATACAATTTTTTTTTACTTAAATACAAAAAAAAAAAAAAAACCCACACATTTTTTTTTCAATATATAATTATAGGGGAAACGCCATGATTGGAGTAATTTTTTGCTGATACCTTTATTATTGTGCCCCTAATATTTTTCGCTATAAAAAGTATTTCAAAAATAGTCAGCAATTTTTTAAGGGAAATACTACTGTAAAAAATCTTTAAAAATATATAATGAAATATTGTATATGAGATTTTATATATTTAATAAATAATGTTTACTTACCAGAACAATAAAAGTATATCGAAAAAATATCACATCACAATAATTTCAGTTAATTTTTTGTTGTGTTCCTAAAATTTTTACTAAATGTTTGTGAGTTTTTATTTTTTCGTTTAATTTTTTCTATAATTTGTTCGTGATTATTTTTTCTTTTTGTAAATAATTGTAATTCTTTTTTGAATATGTAAAATTTTGCTTCTAATTCTCCTCTCCGTCTTTCCGTGCTGCTGCTCTCATAGACTTTTCAGTTGTTTCAAAAATTTTCAGGTAATTTCGTAGGTTTTGATTTGAATTTCTCTTCAAACTTTTTGTTTGTTTTGCTTTTAATTTTATTTATTTTAATTTTAACTTTTTAAAAAATTTTTCTTTTTTTTCGCCCAAATGTTCAACGCCGAAATGCACAATAAAATGGGTTAATTAACTAAAGAGTTACGTCTGAATTTGCAGAAAACCTAAATTGCCGTTAGACTTTGGCCGAGACAAAATTTATTTGACCGAAAATTGGAAAACTCAACTCGAGACGAGATCAAATTCAGACGCGTGAATTTTGCTTCAAATCGGATCCGGTTCGGAACTGAAACTGGAAGTTACTGCTGACTGATTGACTGATTGACTGACTGCCTGCTTATTAGATATAGTATATATATGTATATATATATATATATATCTATATGTGTATTAGTTAGTACAAGTTACTAATTATTTGAGTTTATTAATAACTTTTGCTTTGTTGATTTGGTTGTTGTTTGCTTTGTTGTTGTTGACGAACAAAATGCGTTGCGTGTTGTTGTTGCTGTTGTTGCTTCTGCTGCTTATCGTATTGGTAAAAATGTAACTTTGTCTATTTGATTATTTGTTGTTGGCTGGCTGGTTTGTTGGTTGGTTGTTTGGAAATGAAGAAAAAACTGCCTACATGCTAAACGCCGGCGTTTACATTGTCTTTGGGTTGTGCATGGATGGCAGCGTAGGGCGGTGGGCGGTCACTCACATTCAAGATGGAGTCTGAGCGGCGCACAGAAACGGCGCCTGCAGCACTTGGAGCACAGTGGAGCGCCTTATGCCAGCTGCTGTTTGATGTTGGGGCTGCTCGGCAAGCGACGGCGGCGGCGGCATTTCGAGGCGCGTATCAAAAGCCACCAGAACCGAAAGGCGTTGAGCCCCAGCTGCCAGTTCGTGTGGCGGGGTATTGGTTTATATATACGTTTCTTTTTCTTCTTTTGTTCTGTGGCTCTTCACTCGCACTTCAAGTCATTTTTATGCACTTTCACTTTTTTGCTAAACACACATGAACACACGCACTCACGCACGCACCCTCGCAGAGATGTTTTTCTTTTGGTGTTTCACTTTCTTGTCGATGCGATGCGCCGGACTGCGATTTGGGTGTGGGTTCGAGTTCGAGTTGAGTTTGAGTTGGAGTTTGAGTTAGAGTTAGAGTCTGTGCGGTGTCTCGGCTTGGCTGTGAGACTGTGATTTATGCGCTGCGAAGACTGCGGACTGGACTGTCGACCTGCCTGCCGATTGCCTGGTAGAGCCTAGTAATTTGCCTGCTGCCTGCCTGCCTGCCTGCCGTGTCTGTCTGTCTGCCTGCCTGACTGCCTGACTGCGTACTAAGCCAGCAGCGTGGACAGGACCCGAGGAGCTGAAAAAACGCCGCAACTTGTTTCGCGTTTAGCAGTTTTCTGTTGCAATGTTGTGCAAAAATTGTTAACGATGACGGCCAGCGCCGTTGTCAGATTGGCGGTCGCGCTAGCTAGCGTCGCTGTCGCTGCTTTCGCTGCTTTCGATGACGTCGCTGCAGCGCGATTTGATTGTAAAGTCTCCCCAGCACCGGCTCCTCACCACAGCACCGATCCAAAGCTCGCTTGATGAAAGTGGCCGCTGGCCGTGCGCGTTGATGTGGCGGGCGCGAAAAGCGAGAAAAAATTCAACGGCAGCGCACTGCGAATTGTCCTCGTCGTTTTTGGTTTTGGTGATTGGCGCAAAAAAATGTTTGCTGCGATGGCAGCGGCGACGTCGCTTTGCTAATGTACATACATGTGCAGTGCCGCACACCCATCCACACAGCACACAGCACACAGCACACATCACACATGCACACAGGGACGAGAGGCGCACATATGCACAGTGCTGGACAAATCCAAAGCACACATAGGGACAGCAGCGGAGCTGGACGGGGGAGATGGACAGCAACGCGCGCTCAGTCGCGAAAAATCAAAACAAAGCGCGACGACGACAACGGCAGCGCGATGGCGGCAGCATCGCACAAAAACACTCACATGCATATGGGCACACATATAGGGGCAGTAAGAGAATGCACATACTTGAAGCACACCCTTTTAGCCATCCCCAATCAAGCGGCGAACGCATTTTGTGTTTGCTATGCCTAAAATCAAACAACGCCAAAAAGTATGCAACACAGGATGCACCACCCGAATGGCCCGTGGGGCGGGAGGTCTGCTGGTGCAGTGCTAGCTGCGCTGCCCGCGATGCAGTTGCGTATGGACAGCGAAAATGCAGCAGTCGGCCCTAACATCTACCTAAAACATTCATCCATTCATCTAGCATTCCATTTCCACCCACAGACATACACACACACACACACACACACATGCAGGTCGTGTGTGGCCTGGGAGCGCGCTGTTGCTCCTAGCTGCGCATTGTTGCTGCCTCCATTTCGCGCTCAATTCGATTGCCCCGCCAGCAACGGCGACAGCGACAGCACCACCCATAATCCCAGCCCAATCCTCAACCACGCTCCCCGCACAGTCTGTGCCATATGGTACTGTTCTTGTTTTGATTTTGTGCTTTTGTTCGTTCTTTTTCGCACACTCATACATGCATAGCAAATGCAATTTTTTCGTTTTCATTTGCCACAACAACAGCAACGGCTAGAAGAGAAAAAGCGAGAAAAAAAATCAACAAAAACAAAACGGGGCAAAAGTATGGAAACCTTTTCCCATTGCCCCTGCGAGTTGCAACACATTTCTTCATTTTTATTATTATTTATTTTTTTTTTCTATCAGAGATGCCAACAAAAGTCTTAAACTGCAGCAAAAAAATGTAAATAAACTTTGAAAAAAATTATATATATAGATATATGTATCTACATATATTTCTTTTTATTATAATTTATTTTTGTAGAAATTAAACATCAACATTAAATGAAATAGTCTTGTATGAAAATCAATACTGAAATTGATATATGCATATAAAAAATATATATATTTTGTATATATGGAATGCTTAGAGTGCATCATACGCATAAATGCGATGAGAGCGCATCGACAAGCCGGAGAAAAATCGTTTTACCCAAAACGTGGCCCCTCGCTATCAACTGTACATGGTTATATATAATTCTACAAATGCATGTTGTACATACTCACACACACACACATGCACACACACCCACTTCGACATACATATGTACTGAAAACTAAACAGAGAATGCATTTGATCCCAGCTAGCTCACGCATTTTGCATATAACTCATACGCCGAGTCGGCCGCTGGTCAACTTAGGCCTGAACATAGCGTCGGCCCACACCACACCACACCACACCACACCCACACACATACACACATAGAGTCGTACATATGTATTGTGGGCGGCCGTCGGCTGGTCGGCTAGTCGGCTAGTCGGCAGGTAACGTGTCTATAAGGACTGTATATGGACATTTATGGCGCTATCGATGGCATTGGTTATTGACTTTGATTTTGGCTTTGCTTTCGGTGCAAAGTTCAGTAGCTATGAATGTGGGTTGCGTCCGACAGTGTGGGGCGGCCTTCATTCAATTCATGCATAAAAAAGAATTACCAATAGCTTATGGATTAATAAGTCGCCTCGAACAAATGCCAAAGGTACATCAAATACAAACGAACCCATGCCCGCACCCCAATCCATTCATCCAAATGTGGCCTGTGGACCGTACCTGATTATCTGTCTACCAGTCCTGCGGTCTGCATGACCAGCGTACCACCATTCTCTAGCCATTAGCCGCTTGTCGATTATTAATTAATGAGTTAACGGCAGAGCCTGGCTGGCGATAATAAAAAATTCGCATAGAACATAAAACAAAAGAGAATAGAAAAAAATGCTTAAGCCAAGAGAGAGCTCTGCAATAATATGATCTCTCCAAGAACGATTTTTTATTTATGTAAGTTATTATTTTTATCATATCTCATTTAGTATTTTATCGAGATTTTCTGAAAAACATATGTCCCTGATTATGTTCTATGTGAAAATAATATATTTTAAAGATTGTTTTCGATAGGGGCACAGAACAATTTGGTAGATACGTGGGAATTGAAAGAGAATCAACAAAATGTAACACTGTTCTCTAATATTAATATTTAATAAATTTAATATTGTAAATATAACTCAATTAATTTTAAAGGTAAAATTGTTTTTAATTGATAAATAGCAAGGATATAGCATAAAATATGCATTTCGCTTGACTTTTTCTATAAACGTTCTGTAATACACTGCGTGTTGTCAATATACCGCAGCTCTATACTCCCATTTGTTTTTGCTATTTTGTTTATATACTTCACGAAACATTTAATCATTTTTAGTTTCAATATACTTATACATATGTATGCATTCCCTCTGTCAAATAATAATGTGAGTCTGCAGAAGAATTTCACAGTGACACAAAGCTACCATCGGCATATGACATATATGGGTTCCTATGGCTATAGATCATTATGTTCTACAATTATATATGTACTTTTCTACATGCATAAGAATTAACTAATTAATTTATTATAAATTTCTTTATTGGACTGGATGTATGAACGGACACCAGATTTGCCACTACTCGAAGTGACTGCCCGCATATATCACTGGGATCCAAGTATACTACTCTACTCCTGATACAATAAAAGGTAATACGCTCAATTGGTATAACTGAGCTAGAGCATCAAGCTGGCTTTCTTATAATATCAAACCCACCGTTTACAAGTATAAAGTCAACACAGCCCTAATGAAAACCCTCTATAAATTTATATTAAACAGTCACATATTCCTTAGTTAAGGCTTAAGGGCTGCTAAAAATAGCACTAAAAAATATTTTTGAAAATAAATAAATCGATGTAAATTTCTTAATATGTACTTAATGTAATGTTGAAAAGGTATCTATTCACAATATTATGTATAGAAAGTAAAATAAGTCCAATTTGAAGAGTCTGCCTTGTCATTTAAGCTGCAACTTTGTGTAGCTTAAAGCATTTCGAGCTCAGCAATTCTAACTCAAATCTCATTAAAACATTTTTGTAATTAGTCGGATGAAAAGGAAAAATGATCGCAAATGCATCGCAGGACCAAAAATGCATCAATCAACTGCAGTGCCTCAGGCCGACGAAAACAGAGAACTATACCACAAAATTTGTAGCTGGAGGGAGGGAAAGAGATATGGAGAGAGGGAGCGAGAGGGAGTCTGGCAGCTTCTGACCGATGGCCAAAAATCATTTTTAGTTCGCTGATGTTGATTCTGTGCGCTGCAGATAGGCGGCCTGAATGCAGTTGATGTGGATGCTGACGTTGATGCTGATGCTGCTGCTGATGCTGATGCTGGGGCAGTCTATATTGGTGCAGTTGCAGCTGCAGCTGCAGCTGCTGATGGCTGTTGGCTGATTTGCATATTCCCCAAAGCGCAATGTGTTGCAGTTGCAATTCGTTTGCCTAAAAGCATCAAGCAAAGTCCTGGCTAGGAGGGGCCGGAGCGGGAGGTTATATAATGAAAATATAGCCGGGCAGCAGCGACAGCAACAAAAATGACAAAGACAGCGCGGAAAATTGCGCGGAAAATTGCGCGAAAAACTAAACATGCGACAGGCGCAGGAGGCAGCGAACGACAGCTGCAACATAGCCAACAACAAAAATCCATTCCACTTTTTGCCCCATGCACCAAAAACAGCTGCAGTTGCAACATTCTGCTGCAAAAAAAAAATATATATACACAGAGCCCAACAGCAACTGCAATAAGGGAAGCTTCCGACATGGGGTTGGGGTTCTTGATTGTTGTTGACCAGGCAAGAGTTGGGGCGATACGAGTTACACTTAAGTGCAGTTGGGCCGGTGGGGTGGTGAGACGGAGGGTCAAGTGACAGGCGTTGCACACGTGGAGGTCACTCTCGCCATTAGCCTCGTTGCACTAGAAAGTAAATCAGACTCCATTGCATGATTCCCTCCGGGACTTCATAATTCATTAGGCTCATTTTTTCACTCGCATATCAGTCCCCAAAGATTGCGGGCCATAAACATATTTCGCTTTTAATTAATCAAGCGAATGAAAATGCACGGCTCAAAGGACATGCGGCGAAACGGATGCCCAACAACCAAACTTTGAACTTTCGATCCGGGATATTTTTTAACTTTGTTATTCTATGGCCGGCGCTGACTGACAGACGGCAAGAGTGAAAAGGGCTAAGCCCCCTATTTGCCATGCAGTTTGGTTAACAGGGAGCCGGTGGGCGTGGCTGGACTTTATTCCTCTTGGTTCTTGTTGTTGCATTAAAAATGCGCGCTTACGTTTGAAAAACAACACAAAAAAGGAAAACAGAACAACAACAACAACAAAATGCTCCGCCTACCATGGCAACGGCGGAAAGGACGCGGTGCAGGAGGTAGCATCGTTGCAATGGCTGAAATAAATGCAACTGCGCTGCGATGGCCGCTCTGCTCTGCATGCGTCTGCTTGCGTCTGC